GAATTCATAGTTTCCTCCACGGTTCCATCAGCAAGCAGAATCAAATTGGGGATGTTACCCCCAAATTTAAATTTTAGGGTTCACAAAAATTAGAGATTATCCTCCACTTAGGGTTCATAAAATTGGGTAATTTGAATTGTTTAAAACAAAATTAATCCTAATTTTCATAATTAGGGTTCTATAAATTAAACAGACATGAATCAAATATGGGCGACTCGATACCAATTTTTGGAAAATTAATAATAATAATAATAATAATAATAATCCTGATTTTGATTCTAACAATCAAACATAAACATAATCCCATACTGATAAACATGTTGTAAACTGAATGCAAAAGCGTACCTGAATTAACCATAACGATGATGTCTTTGTAGAGCACTATATTGATCTTTGGTCTTCCACCTGAAGAGCACTTGTATTTCCCTCTTGATTTTCTCTCTTGATGGGGATAGAAAGAAAGGAACGGGACTGATACTTACGTTCTGTGTGTGTGCTCTCAGAAGGGGACCATGACCCTTTAGATAACCAGAATTAGGTTAATTACTTAAGTTTTAGTATTTCCAATTTGGCCCCTCATCAAATTAGAAATTACTCTATGGTCTCTACACAATTTTATTTTCATGACATATGCTTTTAGCCAAAACTTTAATTTAGTCAGATCACTTTATTATTTGACTTAATAAATAATGGCCCTAACACATTTAAATTATGTATCATATATATACATGACCCAAATTTTTCCAACATTATTGTCCTCAAAAGTGATATAATTGAACATAATACTACATTAAAGACAAAAAATGTTGAGTTTTTTTAATATATTTTTTCTCTAAAGTGAGACATTTAAACAACCCATAAATATTAATAGTGATGACATGTATGAGTATTTGAGGAGAAATAAAAGATAGAGAAAGAAAATCTACTTTGAAGATGATTTTTACACTTATCTAGTTAAAAATGATCCAAGGAGATTTTCAGAAGCAGCTAGTGATTGTGATAAGAAATGTGTTTATATATGATACTTTACATTGGGATAAGATCATTAAGACTTAAATTGACTCAATTAAGAAAAATAATACTTAGACTCCTTAGATTTGCCTAAAGGAGCAAAATCTATAGGTGATAAGTGGATCTTTAAAAAAATATCATCCTGATGGATCCATAGATAAATATAAGACAAGATTAGTAACAAAGGGTTTTACTCAAAAAAACATTGATTATTTTGATATATTTGCTCCTATGACTAAGATTTCTTCTATTCAAGTTTTGTTAGCTCTAGCAGTTATCCATAGGTTAGTTATACATTAAATGAATCTTAAGACAACCTTTTTGAATGGTAAATTAGAGGAGAAAATTTATATGACTCAATCTGGTGTGTTGTTCCTGGTCAGGAGAACAAAGTGTACAAACTTTTAAAATCTTTGTATGGATTAAAATAGACACTAAAACAGTGACATGAAAAACTTGATAGTATTCTACTCTGTGATGGTTTTTCAACTAATGATGTTGATGAATGTATGTACTCTAAATTTGAAAATGGTGAATATGTCATTATATGTTTATATGTAGATGATAAGATAATATTTGGTGCATATTGACGTAGTTTCTAGAATCAAGTTGTTTCTAGAATCTAAATTTGAAGTAAATTTGAAAGTAGTGAATATGTTATTATATGTTTATATGTAAATGATATGCTAATATTTGGTGAATGTATTGACATAATCTCTAGAATCAAGTTGTTTCTAGGATTTAAATTTGAAATGAAAGACATGGGTGAAACCAATATGATTTTAGAAGTTAAAATCATAAGGAAGGGATATAATATTTTACTATCCCAAAAACAATACATTAAGAAACTTCTTAGGAAGTTAGGGTATTTTGACTTCAAACTAGTGAATATTCCTTACGAAGGTAACTCTAAATTAAAGAAAAATAAAGGAGACTCAATGTTTCAACCTCAGTATACCCAGATAATTGGGAGCTTATTGTATTTATTGAGTTTTTCTAGACCTGACTTTACTTATACAGTAGGTAGATTGAGTAGGTACACTCAATGTCTTAATCAGGAACATTGGGATGTACTTGCAAGGCTTATGAGATACTTAAGAGGTTCAATGGATTATGCCATTGAATATAGTGGATTTCCCGTTGTACTAGAAAGGTACAATGATGCTAACTAGATATCTGATTCATATAAGACAAAATCCACTAGTGGTTATGTATTCACATTCAGGGGTGATGCAATTATATGAAAATCAACCAAGCAAACAATTATTGCAAGATCAACAATGGAATTTGAGTTTGTTGCTCTCAAAATGACTAGTAGTGAAACTGAGTGATTGAAAAACTTCTTAGCAAACATTTCATTAGGAATGAAACCAACCCTATATGTGTCAATACATTGTGATTATCAATCAGTAATAGTTATAGCTAAAAAGAAAAACTACAATAGAAAGAACAGACATATACAATTAAGACACAATTTTGGTGAAACAGTTGCTAAAGAGTGGAACAACTTCCATTGACTATGTGAAGTCAGAATGAAATCTTGCAAAACGAAATCCTGAGGGAGAAACATGATTTTAGAAACATAAAGGGGAATGGGACTCAAGTTACTTGCAAACAAACAAGTGATGGTAACCCAATATTTGTAATTGGAGATCCTATGAATAAGGTTCATACAGATAAAAACAAACCACTTATTAGTTTTACTAACACTAAAATTGATTAAAATCAATTATGTTCATTTCATTGGTATGTGTGAAAGTGTTAGATATTGCATCATTAAAAGGTTAAACTTTGTAATTAAAATTTTATGTGATGTACGAATTTTAGTCTAAACAAAGTTTTTAATGATTTCATATCCCTTATGAGTGATGTATGATTTGTAACATATACGCTTGATGAAATCACCTATATGAGTGTCGAGTGGGGTCACTTGTATGAGATATTTGCAAGATTTCTAGAACACTCATGAATATTAGGCAAGCACATGACCTAATAAACGTAACACAGCGATAATAATAATTATGGGGGTGTTGTGATTGTTAAACTACACACTAAGTGTTTTGGTTCATATAACTTGTTATATCAACTACACTGTGTGTGTTAACTTTTTACTCTAAGACGGGTTCATATAGTTTGTTATATCAACTATGATGCATTACATCTTATATGAGATACATGATTTTCTTCTTTTTGTTCTTTTTTATTTTATTTTATTTTACAATATGTAGAAGATTGTTGTAAAAGGAGAAAAATATTGCAAAATCCACAAATTTACCATCCACAAGTCTTGATTGCAGTTACAAAGCATACCTCCTTCATACATGTGTTAGTTGAGTTGCAACAATATTCCTCTTCCATACAAATCTTGATTTGGTTGTTAGAATTTAGGTGTTGTGTGTGGAATGTTTTGTGAATATGAGTTTGTTACACATACCACACTTACACATAAATTCCTCCACATTTCTTTTATCTTGGATTTATTTAATTTTTTAAGAGTTTTTTTTAGTTTTTTTTTTATTCCTCTCGAAAAATCCAAAAAAATTTACGTGATATCCTTACAAAACTTATGCAATATATTACAAATAAATCATTTAAAAACAATGATTATACAAGCCTCGTACTCAATCATCAGACTTTTTTTCTTTCTTTGTCATATTTACAAGAGTAACAACAGTAGTAACATTGATGTTATCAAAAGCTAAAAACTTGAAATATAAAAATATTAATATAATAATTATATTTGATAAAATAACTGAAGGTTGACTTCTTTCATACTCGTTTGAATAACAAAGAATTCTCAACTGAAAATTATAAATACTATTTCAGTGACAGTTTATTATTAATAAATTTATAAACAGTTTAAAGAATATTTAAGATTATTGAACTCTTTATAATTTTAACCAAAAGTTCTCAACTGAAAATTAGATACACTCTTTCCGCGACATTTTATTATTGATAAACAAATAAGTTGAAAGAATATTTAAGATTATTATAACATTTATAATATTAAAAATGTTTGGAGTCGTAACCGTATGTGGTAGCGAAGATGTGTCACACTGAAATTAAATAAATAAATTATATAACTATTTTTTCTTAACCTAAAATTATTTTTTACTATTATTTTTCCTATCATAAGCTGTTTATTATTTTTAATTTTATTTTGATTTCTAAAATAAATATATGAAAGACCTACACCATATTTCTTCTAATTGATTTTCTTCTCCCTTAAATCCAACTAAACGAACACATCATAACCCTACTTTTTTTAATTCAATCAATCTTATGTTATTGGTGCAGAGTTTTCAATATGCTTTTCATTTTTAATTTATATCATGAAAAAATTGTAAGGGGTCAAAGTTTGGCGACTTTTAATAAAACATTTATAATAAATTATAAGACTGTCTTTTTTTATGGGATAAAATCATCTGATGTTAAATAATGTAATATTATATCCTTAATAATTTTATTTTTTTAAAATTAATGTATGCTATTTAACCTAAATAAATATATTTATTAGTTTACATGTGTCTCTAATAAAAAAGATACATGAAATTCTTATAAGAAATATGATTCATATATATAAATTATAAATTAGTATTAGTTCATAGAACTTCAGCTTAAAACAAATATACAAACATTTCAATAAAAGTTTCTCGTAAACTATAATGAACTGCTCTTAAACCTTTAGAAGTTATTTATGTTTCTATATTCGAAATCCCTTTAGAAGTTATTGTGAACCCGCTAAGCATGTTATATCCGAAAATGTGATAATTCTGAACCTGATAAATAGGGTTGGTTGGGGGAGGAGTGAAAAGATAACCAAAAGCTGAGATATAGTAATATACAACACTCTAGTCAGTTGGGGACACATACGACATTAAGGAGGTGTTCACAAAGAACTGTGCCATCATTACAAACAAACTCGAATGTGAACTAAACTCACTGGGCACCACCTATCAACTAAAAGGTTACATTTTAGTGTCAAAAATTCAGTTTCCACTACAAATAGCCAAACCAGATATATCATGAGCCTCTGCAACAGCGTTTAGATCAGACCAGGAATATGACCTCCAAGGAGAACTTCGTGTGGAAGACGAAGGTTGAGGCAGTGATGACCGATTGTTGGCACGTGGATGAAGAGGAGGAAGAGGGCATGGAGGGGATATGGATGAGGAGCTGTTACCCTCTTCACTACTGCTCAGATTGAGACAAGATGTTCCTCGACCTATGTTTGAGGGTCGCTTTGATATTCCACCGATGTTACCTGCACAGCTGCGACTCCTCTCTATTGATGCATTGCGAGCTATTAGATTCTTGCGTTTCTTCGCATATGGGTCCTCTGGCTTCACTATCTCTTGCATAGAACTTGCAGCTGCAGCATCTGCTAAGCTTGTGAAGGACTTTGATTTCCCACTATAAAACTTGGATATGCCTTTCCTGAATTACACAACGCAGTTCCCAGTCATTTGGTAATCTTCAATTATTGAATTGTTAATATTTCTCTCTTTGAACAAAAGATAACAACAGTCATAACAGGAGCATGTGCAGTGGCATTCATAGTAGCTAATACAAACTGTCACTGCACTTGTATAAATAGCCCAAATATCGAAGAAAAACCCATTACAACTTTTGGCATCTCAGAAGGGTAGCAAATCAATTGTCCAACAATACCGTCCCTATACACACACCTTCTAATACACTTTTTTACTATTTATAAATTTACAGAAATTACAAATCATGAGAGATAAGGCATTAAATAAAAAATTACATAGAATTATGATTTTAAATAAATTATTGCTATATTGAAAGAGTTTGTACAAAAGAATACGTTACAAGATGATCTGGGATTCATTATCCATGACCTATCCCACCAATAAATCATATATAAATTCAATTTATTAATAGATCCATGGAAAGATTTAGTTTTAGACTTTTAGGCAATGGGTAGTAAATAAACCAACCAAAATATTTATTGGGGATGCACAAGGTATAACAAAGAGTGAAATGTATTTGGACACGAGAGTCTAGATGCATTTATTTGAGAGATTGTACTAAGATGAAGAAATGACCAGATACAGATACTCCTGTTTCAAGAGAATGAAACATCGTTGGACCAAGGAAACTTTAAATGCATCGATGCAGAAATCTTAGTTAATTTATGAGAGAGAAAAAGTAGGTTTTTAGAGTAAAAAACAGTAAAAGCACTGTATGAATTGTGTAATATTCATTCACGGACTTGTCCTTTTTTTTCTTTCCCTAACCCATGAACAATATAGAAAGATGCCCTATCTCCTCCACACACCAATCTTTTGGTTTTGGTGGTGGAGATCCATTATGCCAATCATTTTCAATAATCCTTTAAGTAAACGTCTGGACCTAGATATATTCTGTAAACCACTTACCCCAACCACAAAAGCAGATCACTAAATGAATTAATGGATTATCTAAGTGAAAGAAAATAGTATACAACTGTATGGGGGATTTTTCTCAAGATGCTCCTTTCCCTAGTGTTTAGTCACTCAAGATAAATAAGCGCACCGAATCATCATCATCACTCAACACCCCACCGGTAATGGTAACAAACAAAACCCCTAAAGGGCAAAACGGTAAATTTAAATATGCTAAAAGAAGCACAAATATATGACTTCTGCTACTCAATCCAAAAAGAAACCGAGGAACATAACATAACACGACAGAGCCCCAAGACCCCAATCAACCCACATGAAAAGTTTGAAGCTTGATAAACACCCAGTGAAGAAAAACACATAAAAAAACTTACTTGACGGGTAAATCTTCCTCTAGATCGTTCATGGTATCTAAAGGGCCTTTAAAGGAGCTCTGAACCTCAACTTCGCCGGCGTCTTCCCGGTCAGAGGATTCTTCCGACGAGACGCTGTTCCTTCCGATGGAGGAGTCGGAGCTGGAGTCGGAATCCTCGGCCGGAAAATCCCGATCGCAGATCGAGACGCAGTGGGAGAAGGACGAGCGTCCGATGGTAACTGCTCCGTTAGTTTGCAGAGCGAACGGCATGGTTTTGACAGAAAGGTGAGAAGAATGGTTGGGTGTGAGACGAAAGGAAAGACAGAAAACGCAACAGCAGAGAGCGGCGTGCGATGAGTTGTGGGGTATAAATATAAGTACCCGGTGTGTTGCACATGGGTATCAGATTTTTTTCGCCATGGTCGATCAGGCATAAAAGAGAACAGTGATTGATAGATCAATTTTTTAACCTAATATTTTCAATTAAACTTATAAGAATTGTCGTAGAAAATAAATAAAGAATAAAGGGTAAGGACGATGACATCTTATCCTCATTGGGTTGAATAATAATAACAACATAGCCAACATAACAAGTCTCTTCAGACCACAACATGTTCAAATACAAAAAAATAAAAAATAAAAATACTTATATTTATGTATTTTTTCTTCCCTCAACAATTTTATCACCTTCAAAAATAATAACTTTGGCACTTTATTTTTATTTTTTTCGTTTTTAATTAGATGTTTTGGTGAGGAGCGAGAAATGATTGACTGTGGAGCGTTGGATTAGGAATTGGATATAATCTTGGAAATGGATGAGGTGGATCCCACATTTCTCACCCACCATTTCATGTTTATTCCTTCCTTTCTGCTTTACCTGTTCTTTAATATTTAATTAATAATGAATAATTATAGAATATATTCCCTTAAGCCATTTGCCCCTTTCTCACTCATTATAATTTTCCCACACATCCTAACTTAATTAAATATTAACAAAAATCTCCAACTTTATCTCACTAATATTACATATTCAAATAAATATTTTATTTATTTTAATAATGCAAAAGAGCTTATGAAAATATTTTTAGTGGTTGGTTTAATGTGGAAATATGAACAACGAGGAGGGTGGCACGTTGTTGACAGAGGAGTGGCCGGCGGGAACTCGTTCCTAGACTAGAGACACAGCGATTGCGCCACGTGTCTTCCAGGAACAACGATTTTGCCATGTGTCTCGCTGACTGAATGTAGTAGATAAGGCCTGCAACAACAGCTTCTCTCTTCTCTTTCTATGCTTATGTTATGGCGGCATCACTTTTTTTTTATTTCTTTTTCTCCCGCTCTTCAATTATATATGAGCGTAACTAATTGCACAGAAAATTAATTTAAACAATTATATTTCACTGAAGTATATTATAAAATACTTTTAAGTGGGATTTTTTTCTTAATTTTTAATTTTATTTGATTAAAAAATATTTTATAAAAATAATCAATACCATAAATAATTGGAAACATATTTATAAAACACATAAAATGATAGAAAACTGAAATATATATATATATATATATTATATTTATATTAAAACATGTAATTTTATTAGAATATTCATAAAATATTTTGCAACTCAAGTTGGGGTCATGTGTCCCCAAAAGAAGCACAGAGAAATGGTGAACCAAGCTTTGTAATTGTCGTTTTTTTATTTGCTTTTAGGTTGCACCGTCTTTACAGGGATAGGGTAATTAATTGTGTATAAATATACTTATTTTTTTATATAAGTAAAATATTTCTATAATAAAAATAATTTTAAAGATTTTGAATTCAATTATAATTAAATATAACAATGTGCGGAGATTGAAGATGACGGTGCCATAAATTGTGGAATCCATGGCATCTAGTGTCATCAATTTAAAAACGGCGGAGAGTTCGTATATGCATTTTAATAAGTCATAATGTAATTTAATCTGAATTAAATTTATTTTGGTATGCTTTGTTTATTTCATAGTTTAAAATAAATTTTCAAGTTGGTTTGATTTATAAAATAATATTTTTTTTTAAATATATATATATATATATGTGTATTATAAAAGAATTTATTTATTTTAAAAATAAATATAAAAAAATTATATAATTCACTTGTTTCATAATTTAATAGATAAAATAAATTACTATTTTAATTAATAAAATAAATTATTATTTTAATTAATAAAATAAATTATTATTTTAATTAATAAAATAAAGTATTATTTTAATTAATAAAAATAAATTATTATTTTAATTAATAAAAATAAATTATTATTTTAAATTATTAGATTATTAAAAAATAAATAATAATAAAATATTAAGTTTTTAACTTAGAGTAAATAATTTTTATTCATTTATTAAATTATTAAAAATAAATTAAACTTGTTAATTTTAAATTTTAAAATATATATTTTATTTTATTTTATTAGTTTTTAATTAATTAATTTAATATAAACACGTTAATAAAAAATAATTGATCTTAAAATAAAATTCACATATTAACCTAATGTAATATTAAGTTACACATAAAATTATGATCATTTTTAAATTGAAGTCAAAATAGATAATTAATTATTTTTTACTTTACACCTAAAATCAAGACAGATATGATCAGACAATCTGGTTTTACTATCTTAGTTATAGTCAAATACTTTCTTTTAGAGTAAATTTAAAATATGAATTTTACTATTTTAAATTTGATAATGGCAAAAGAAAGCTGAAGTGACAATAAGAGATTTTGCCCAAACAGAATTTTAAACAAATAGATATTTTCTCTATTTAATAGTTTTAGATATACCTTAATTATATGCGGTGAGGTTTTAAAACCAAAGTATTATCATGGATTGCACATATACTTTGAAAGAAATTAGATTCAGAACATTTAGTTAAGGAAAGTTATTTATTTAAATAATAATATGCATGAAAATAAATTATATATGTTCTAGTTGTAATTAAAGTAGAGAAAGTATGTTTATGTTGTTTTATGTTGTATGATAATTGTGTCTTTAGATATTGAGATTAGAAAAAAGTTAAAAAAAAATAAAAAAATATCTTGTTTCTTATTTAGACTTATTTTGTTGTAGTGAGCACAATACGTTCAAGCAAAGTTATTTTTGTTCAAATGATATGAAAAAAGATTCATGTGAATAAATTTTCGTTCAAGTGAAATTTTTAGGATATTTTTTGTTTGAATTTTTAAAAATCATAAAAAATAGTTACATAATCCAAATTTGATGTATAATACATTCAAATTGAAGCTCTAAGAATAAAGAATCATATGAAATAAAAATTAGCTAAAAAATATATCTAAAAAAAGTTAGAACCAAAAGAATAAATAAATGTCAAATAAAAAATACATATTTATAATACTTAGTTAAAACTAATATAAATTATTATAAATGAAAGAATATAACTTATATAAAGAATTATAGGATGATATAATAGTATTTTGTATTTTTGATACAAAGATACATTTATTAGATTTAATCCAGTCAAAAAATGATTCATAATTGACTAATATATATTTATGAGGTTAAGTTAAATAAATGATGTAATATGTAATTGACTGATAAATGTGTGATATGGTGTAAGTGTTGTTATCATCCTTATGTAAATTTCATGAGTTTCTAAATTTTCCTAATAACCTCAATTAAGTAGAATAACTATAAATAGGTGAGAAGTTAATAAGGGATCAATAATATCTTCTCAAAAACTATATTATGGTAACTATCTCATATCATATCAGTTTCAATTCAATATAACTCATGTGTTAGTCTCTAAATTTTAAACATAATACTAGTTTTTCAAAAATTTCACAAATTAAATATAATACGATATGTATAATATAATAAAATATAATTGTATAATATTATATATGCGATAAATTTAATAGGTAATTATTATTTAAATAATTAATTTATCTTTATTTTATTGTTTGTATAACTTTCTTGTTATATGAATTACAAAAAACAAATTACAATTAAAAAAACTCTATCTAGATAACATATTTAATCTAGGATATACTTATAGTAGAAAATATATAAATATGTTTATACAATATGGTTATACTAGTAAAAATCATTATTAAACACTTCTTATATATTCTAAATACAAATTACTTCTTAACAAGTATATTATATAATAATTGTAAGAGGCTTACAAAATTTAACTCATACTTAATCATATCATATGATATTTAAAACATAATTATTTTAAAAAAATTCTAAAATAAATAAATATAATAAGTTTAAAACATAAAATATTATATCATTTGATATAGGTTAGTACCTAAAAAATACAAAATAATAATTATAATTAATTACATCATTAAATATTGCAACAGCTTATAAAAAATTTCTGTATTGATAGTGTAGAAGCATAAGAACATTAAAAAAAACAAAAGTTATTAGATTAACAAAACTAAAATAAGACGTTAATAATAACTAAGCTAGTCTAATATATATATTATGAGAAAATTAAGTAAATTTATTAATTTTCATGTTTTCTCAAATATGATAATTCACTTTTAAATTACTTAAATAATTTCATCTCCTTAAATATTAATCTATAATAACTTTTATTTAATAATAATAATAAATATATTTTTTAATTACTATCAATATTATATCAATGGATAGAGATGTTAAAAACAATTTTTTTATAAGAGTTGTTAACACACTTTTTTCATAAAATTTATAATTAATCATCATAAATAATTTATATGGTTAAGGCTAAAACATTAAACAACAGTAGCATGTTGCAAACAAACAGTCCCGAATTTGTATGGAAGTCCCGAATTATGTAGGATTGAAGTTTAATTAAGTTTTTAAAATTATTAATAAAAATAAATATTTTATCATTTATTTATTAAATTTTATCATCTTTTAATTTTTATTTGTTATATTTATTTATCATTAAGAAGTGGTCAAAACCCTATCAAATTTTGTATATAGTAATTAGTTTTTTTTTAAATAATTTTTTGTTCAATATAAATATAATTAAAAAAATTAGTTTTCCTCTTTTTACTTTTCACTTATAATAAATATCATATTTATTTGTTCGTATAAATTTTTTATTTTTATATTTTTTTCTTATTTTCTCATTTCTTGAAATAAAGAAATAGGAAATAAATATTTTTTTATTATAAAAAATTAGCATAGGATAATGTAAAAATAATATTTTATATATTATAATATTAAAACTTGAAAAAAATTGGTTTAAAGATGATAAAATTATAGAATTATTTAAAAAATAATAAATTTTAAAATTAAAATTTAATAAATAATATTAAAGATGTTGTTAACAATTTTATATAATATATTTATTTTCATATGATAATTAATTTTTATATATTATTTTTCTTATTTAAAATTTTGTATTCCCTGATTTAATTTATCAATATTTTTTTTATTTCTAAAATTTACAATATATATATATATATATATATATACACACACGCACTAACCGGAACGTGAGAAGATTTAAACTGATTATAATCATCAAAAATTTGATATAAATAAGTTTTTCTCTATATTTTTAATTTGTCTCAAATTTTTTTTAACTTGTATATTGTTTTTGGGATGTGTGTTAGTTTAAATCGTTAATAGAATTTTGGTTTGTAAATCTTATTTATTTATAAATAAGATAGTATATCCTTAGATTCTTCTATTTTTTTAGTTAGAGTTTTTGAAAATTAATCTATATAGAGTATGCATTAAAATTTGAGTATTATTTGGACTATGTGTATGTGAGAATAAAATTGTTGGAGTGTATGAAATTAAATTGATATTTGAGTCCTTGAATTTGGATAAAAATTGTAAATTTATTTATGTTTTAAAACATATATGTTGTTTGATTTTATAAGATCAACTATCTCTTGTAAGATCGAATATTTTATTGATTTGATTTTAAAATACTTTTTAATTTCTTTTGTTAGAATTGTTACTTATTTTTAGATACAATTATATATTGAAATAGTTATTGTAATTCTTATTCAACCAAAAATAATTTGGTTATATATAAATTAGCAAGAACAAAATAATATTTTGATTATATATATATATATATAGTAAGCAGCGTGAAAATAAGTATTTTCATTAAAGTAAAAAAAATTATTGATTTATATTTTAAAACGAATCTAGTATAATTTTATATTACCTTGAATTAAAGAATTAACCAGGTTTCACATATTAAAAAAAAACATTATATTTATACCAAAATAATTAATTAAAAAATATTTAAATAAATATAAAATAATATATTTTTTAAAATTTAAATTATATTAATAAAATTATTTTTTATTTAATATATAAATTATAAAATAATAAATTTATTTAATTCTAAAATAAGATTTAAAACTCATATTTTAATAATTTATTAACATAAAATAGTAATTATTCTTATATTTTAGATTTAGTTATTAAATTAATTTATAAAATATTTTTAATAAAATAATAATACTTTTTTATTTAAAAATAATTATTATTTTATAAAATATATTAACATAAATTTATAGAATAACTTAATATAAGATCATATAAATCTTAATCTAAATATAATGAAAAAAATTAGTCTAATTTAATTTAGATTATAAATTTTTTTAATCTTTTTTTTACCTTTAAACTAATCAATAAAATTAAACCTATTTCAACACATAGTAATCAATTAAGTTTAAATCAATTTTACTATACTTCCTTTATAAATACTATTATTATACCTTCCCTTCATTATTATTAATTATTATGAATATTTTTATCTAATTACTAATTTGGGCTTTCAATCTCTTTTTTTCAAAGGGATTTCTTTCTTTAATTGCTGCGAAAACGTATTAGCCTTTTAGATAAGGATGACAATTAAACCTGAAAGCAATAAGGGAGAGATTAATGGAAATGTCCCTACATTCCTAAGAGGTGATTTTGATGATGATTCAAGTCAATTACATTCAAGTCAACACAGATGAATTAAAGACAAGCTAAATTTAAGACGTTGGTGAAAATGTGAAACATTTCCCTACATGCCCAATATATGTTTTTGATAAAGATGATGATTCAAGTAAGCCCAAGATGATTCCTGAAGACTAGATATAGTCTTAGAATACAGGATATGGAGGTACAAGTTGATGAAGTAATATTATGCATAAGCCTCCAAAGCACAAGTGTGATAAAATTCATAACATGATATTTTTCACTTGTCATAATCAATTATGATGCATCGAAATTGAAAAATGATTTTCTCTGTCATAATTGATTATACTTGGTAATATAATCAATTATGACAATTCAAATTTGAAAAATATATCTGTTTTGAAGAATAAATGTTTTTGAATATATCCCGATTTTTATTAAAAAAAATATTAATGTCCAACGACCATTTTCTGATGTTATTTTTCTATTTAATTAAGTTTTGATGAAAAATAAAAAACACATAATTACAGAATTCGGAAATACAATTTACATTCAATCAGTTGTGAGAAAAGAATTATGAGCAAGGCAACATAGATATTTTACACCTTCTGAGAAAACCCTCTTCTCTACTGTCTTATGTGTTCTCATTGTTAATCACACTTGTTCTTGGAGATTGACATTCTACAGGCTTCTACAATTTGTTGTCTCCATTACCCAGGTGTGACTGTTCTTATTTTTATTACCTTCATCCTTTATGTATTGGTAGCAAAAGATGTGTTTTTCATCCCTAGTGTGATTCTAGGGAGGTGTTCATCCTTAGTGGGATTCTAAGGAGATATTTTTTCATCCTTTAATTTGTTCAGAAGAGGTGTTCATCACTAGTGGGATTCTAGGGAGGTGTTCATCCTTAGTGGGTTTCTAAGGAGGTGATTGTCTTTTTAATTAGTTTACTTTTTACTGGTTCTTCTGTTGAGTTGATTGTAATTTGTAAACTGAATTTGAAAGATAGTTAATGGGGAGTCACTCTTGTGTTAAGAGTTGACTGAGAACTGGATGTAGGGTTGGCTATACCCGAACCAGTATAAATCTGTGTGTGCTCTTCTCTTTCCATTATCTCTTTCTCTTCTCTTGATTATATTATCGCTTCCGCTTTATCTGTGTTCAAACAAATTATTGACTCACAAATAAGTTTTTAATTTGACATCTATTTTAATTTGTGTATCTATTCACCCCCTCTAAATGTCATTTGTCTAACAAAACCCAGTATTCGTAGAGACCGATCCCGTCCCCGTCCCCGTCTCCATCCCGACTTTATATTTAAATTTAAATTTTAAAATATTAATATTTTAATAGTATTTTCTTTTCTTTTTCTATTACATATAAGGTCATATTTTATATTTTACCATTTTTACTTTATTTTCTACCTATTTTTTGATTTTTTTATCTTTTATATTAATTAGTTTATTACATTATTCTTTTTTTATTGTTTTTCACATTATTTACATAAATCTTAATAATAATTAATATTATTTTATTTATAATTTATATTTATTAAATTTTATTATGTTATATTTTTTGAATCTTATTATTATTATTTGTTATATATCAAATTTTATCTTAATAAAATAATTATATTTTTAAAGATTAAAAAAAATTGATAATTTAATTTGTTAGTACTTCAAATTAATTAAATAAAAATTAATTTATTAAATATTTTCTTATCAATTATATATTTTATATTTTAAAATAATAACTTAAAAATAAATTAATGTAATCAAATATTTAAATATATTATTATAATAATATATTTTATAATATATAAATGAAAAATAATGAAATATTATATATATATATATATTAATATAAATATATTTTTTATAAATATTTATTTATATATAAAATTTAATATAAATGTAATTATTTTTTAAAAATAATATTGATGGGATGAGATGGTACGGGACGGGATGGAAACCCGAAACAGAACGAAAAAGAATGTGGGAACCTAATTTTTAACCTGGCGAATATCGAACACGGCCACGAAAACGGTTAAAAAAGTCGGTCGCGGGCCGCCCCCGCCGCCGTTGCCATGCCTACTTTCAGACATGGTTCATGAAATTTGATTTGGTGATTAGAGGGTTGCTATTAATTTTGAAGTTGTATTAAGATAAATCGGCCCGAGTTTTGCCACACACACAGCATAAAATCCCTAAACCTCCCTCCAAGTTTTGCTATAAAATTCGAGGAATATTTATGCACTCCTGATTTTCAGCATCTGACCAATTCTCTTTCTTGCCATGAATTTCTCCTCCAAGCAACATTTCCATTAGCCTCGAGGGTCAATGCTTGTATTTCCCAATGGCATACCCAAGCTGATGACTTTCTCATTTATCGCCGTTTTTCGAGCCTCCCATTACCGAACTCTTACTCAGGTAAGACTCTCTGACAAAGGGTTAATCATAACACCACCTGATTCTTGGTTTGTCAAGATAGTTTCTACCCTCTTTCTATGCTCTAACTCTTTTGATGACAAGTTTTTGGGTTATTCCCGTAAGCACTTAACTCCTTCTCATGTCTTAGAGGTTATTAAAAGGTTTAAAAATCCCAACTTAGCTTTCAAGTTCTTTCAGTTCACTAGGGAAAGGTTGAGTATGTCTCATTCATTTTGGACTTATAATATGCTTTTGAGGTCCCTTTGTCAAGCAAGTCTCCACAGCTCAGCAAAATTGTTATATGATTCTATGAGGTGTGATGGGCAATTGCCTGATTCTAGGCTTTTGGGATTTTTGGTTTCTTCTTTTGCACTGGCTGACAGGTTTGATGTTTCAAAGGAATTAATTGCTGATGCTCAGTGCAATGGGGTTCAAGTAAACGTGATTGTTTATAATAACTTTTTGAACATATTGATTAAACACAGTAAGTTAGATGATGCCATTTGTTTATTTAGGGAGCTTACAAGAACCCCTTCTTGTCTAGAAACCTTCACCTTCAACATTTTAATCCGGGGTTTATGCACAGCAGGGAAAGTTGATGAAGCTTTTGAGCTTCTCAGTGATATGAGAAGTTTTGGTTGTTCCCCCGACATAGTTACATATAACACTCTATTACATGGCTTATGTAGAATAGATCAGGTTGATAGAGCACAGGGTTTGCTGAAAGAAGTTTGTTTGAAATGTGAGTTTGCCCCTACTGTTGTTAGCTATACAACAGTGATATCAGGATACTGCAGATTGAGTAAGATGAAAGAGGCCTCCTTTCTTTTTGATGAAATGGTTAGAATGGGTATCAAACCTAATGTGTTTACCTTTAGTGCCCTCGTTGACGGTTTTGTCAAGGCAGGTGACATGGCTTCTGCACTAGGAATGCACAAGAAGATGCTTTTTCATGGTTGTCCTCCCAATGTTGTTACTTTAACTTCCTTAATTGATGGCTATTGCCGAGTTGGATGGGTGAACCATGGCTTGGACCTATTGCACAAAATGGATGCACAACATGTTCCTGCAAATTTATATACCTTCTCTGTTCTTATCAGTGCTTTGTGCAAGAGCAATAGACTGAAAGAAGCACGCAATCTTTTAAGACTATTGAAGCAGAGTGACATTGTTCCACAGTCTTTTGTTTACAATCCTGTCATTGATGGATATTGCAAATCTGGGAACATGGACGAGGCTAATGCAATTGTAACAGAAATGGAAGAGAAGTGCAAGCCTGATAAGTTGACATTTACTATTCTTATTATTGGGCATTGTATGAAAGGAAGAACACCTGAAGCAATTGGTATCTTCTACAAGATGTTGGAAGCTGGTTCTACTCCAGACGATGTCACAATTAGAACATTAAGTTCCTGTCTTTTGAAGGCTGGGATGCCTGGTGAGGCTGCCCGCATTAAAGAAACTATATCTGAGAAGCAGAACACTTTACTAAATTCAGATAAGTCAATTCCTGTCCATTAAGGTCTATGACAAATTAGTGCTTAATCTTTTCACTGTTTTTGGTTTGGAGAATACATTCATCAGGCAATATGTCACCGGATACTGGATATTATCAATTCAATGAATTTAAATTGCCCATCTTTTGAAGGTTCTGCTGATATTTTTGGGTCAGGTATGCCTACTCTCCTCTTCTTTCTTTCTAATTTATTTTTCAACTAAAGTTGAATTTTTGTTTCTTATGTGAAATTGGTTATGCAAGTAGACATTGTTGTGACACCTATCAAGGAAAACATAATATAAAATTGATTAAGACGATTTAGACGCATACCAATAATTTCACCAGAGACTGTGATTATAAGGACACTAGAGAAATTTGTCATGATTTTTAACCCTGTGAAAAGGAGCAGAGAAAGATAGAGAAAAACACTAGAGGAAATTATTGAAATAGATTTCAAGATAAATAATATCCCTAAGCATTTGGTTTTAATTGAGGCCAATGATGCCATGTAATCTAGGTAGCCGATCTCACCTTATTAGATAAAGTTATTATTGACTTATTTTTGTTTTATGTTAAATTGTTTATGCTTTCCTGAGTTTCATTATTATGTGCTTTTACTTGATTTTCCATTTCATTTTATGATTTTAATTTTTAAAGTGTATTTTACTCAAGATTTTATTGAAGTGTTTTTGGAAGAAAGGGAAGTTAGGTCATCAAAATTTCATAGTAAGAAAAAGGCTGCAAAAATATAGGAAGATTATTGGCGATGATTTGCAGAAATAGAACAGTTGAATAAGAGTAGGAATTGAAAGTTGGTGGCGCACAAGTAGAGAGGTGACTGTCTAATGGAAATTTTCATCATTATTCTAACTCAGGCTTTTGAGGAAATATTTTGTGTATTTGGGTGAAGCTTTTTCTCTGGTTATAACTTTACAAGTATTTTGTAAATATCTACCTTCTTCCTCTTTTATTTTCTTAAAAAGAAATAGCAACTTATATTAGTGTCAGGGAATAAACAATTCTTCAAATTTCACGTTTCTTTCAAAATGGATCCAAAATTAATTTTTATATGGGAAGGGTCTGTTTTCTCCTGAACTCATTTCTTTGGTTATCATGTTCAGCGAGGGCAAACAAGAACTTCTTTGCACTATAAGAATCTATACTATGTTAAACTTACTTACAGTTGAGAAGCCTGAGATATAACCTCAACTTGTGTCTGTCTTGTACAAAATTGAGAAAAAAAAAAAGACAATCTTGCTGGAGGATCATGGAGGATCAGGTCAATTGTGTTAAGAGCTGATACAGTTCTGCATAGTAAAATCCATGGAATAAATCATAAATGGATACCAATGCTCATTATAAATGGAAGCTTCTTTGTGGCATTATGCTATGGCCTTTTGTAGGGTGCCTTTACATGTTTTGTATTCTTTATTTATTTCTTGTATAGTTTTTGAGGATTTCACATCCTCTTGTATTTGTATTCCTCTTTTTTTTGGGTTAATAGAGGAATAGAATTCAAATTATTTTTCTAGGGCCAAAGTTAGGTACTTCTCATGTTGCATGTTCGATGCGGACTTGGAGTGGCAGCTGTCATGCTTCACAATCCTAAACATAGCACAAATGATTTGTCATGTTGAATGAACTTTAGCTTTTCAACTGACAAACCACTAAGTTTAACGAAATTTTTTTAGCAAGCTGTTTGTAAAAAGAAAAAAATAGTGGGTTAAATTCATGAACTCCTTATTCATCCTAATTTCGATCTGGTGTAATAAATAAAATTCAACCTAATTTAATAACATAATCTACTATGACTAATTTTGTGAACCATATAATTGTAGTTCCCAGGTTATGAGCTTCCAGTAATAAATATATTAATGTAGCATCCTAAATAATATCCTTTTCTCTTATCTTGTCAAGTGTATCTTGTTTTCTAATATGCATCAACATAAAGTCATTAGATTTTAAGAAATGGCTTGCATGTTTTATCACCACAATAAATTGTTATTATAAACACTTTTTTTTTCTTCTTCTAGATGTGTCCTTGTTGTCTTGTTAAAACAAAAGGTATATTATTCTTAAAAGTGACAATCTTAAGCCTTGACACGTGTTTGATAACTGTTTGTTTTTTCTTTTTTAAAAAAGTATATATTTTTAGGGACTAGTAAAAACAACCATTTTTAAATAAAAGAAATCAAGTAAACAATTGATTTATAAAAGAATGACGTAGAATTTTAGCCTTAGTTTGGTTTGAGGCGCAACGGAAAATGTGATGGAAAGGGAGGGAGTGTTGTTTATCACAAAAAGTCTTCTCCCTCTCATTTTGGTTCAGAAAAATTATATTAGATAACTCTGAGCCCAAAAATGCATTTGACAACCAACTTCATATAATAATAAGAATAAAAACTTTAAATATTTATATTTACTATTATTATATTAAATGGAATTGTAGATGAGTTACATGAAAAAGAAAAAAGATTTATGTACATGATTAGTATGTATTAATGGATTGTTTTCGTACTGCTAATATTTTAATATTTATGTATATATATATATATATATATATATATATATATATATATATATATATATATATATGTGTGTGTGTGTGTGTGTGTGTAGATATATATATTTATAAATTATAATTGATTATGTCTTATAAGATTGATTGTGTGGGTAATATTTAAGTTATATACTTCATTAATATAGTTGATTATATCAGATATTTTATTAATGGCTATATTTTATTATTATAATAATAGAAAATAATATTATAATATTAAATAAAATTTATTTTATTTTTTATTTAAATTAAATAATTCTACTTTTCTTTTCTTTTTTGTTTTTTAATATCTCAATTTCCATCCTCTCAACCAAATAGAGGTCTTAAACTATCCCAAAGAAGATCTAAGATAGAAGTGTTAGTTTTTACACTATTAAGTTTAATTAAATGTTGACATTTTAGTTTGATTCTATAAAACTCAGCTCATGATTGGACATGATTTGAACTAATTGATTTTTTTATTAATTTTGTTGAGAGAAAATAAATTACTGATTTATTGTCTGAGCTTTCATTTATTTGTCTCAGCTTAAAAAATGTTAATGCTTATGCTAACTGAGATGACACAAGAAAATGTAACAAATATTTAATAGGGACAATTATTTTTCACATTAATTGTTTGATATTTGATTTGAAGAGTTAAAATAATTTTTCGAATTTTAAAAATTTCTTAACAGCACATTGCGGCATGTCATAGTTTTGGTCCTGTACATCATAGACATTATTATCTGGATTGGGCTTGGCACTAAGTTCATTCTTCGCAGAGGTCGTTATTTAACATGGAATCAAAATCCAGATTTGGACAAGGGGTTTGGGTTTAAATAAGCGGAGATGAAGGATGTAACGTAAATAAATAATAATATCCCAGATAAGTTCCTTAACCAAGATTTCACATAGCATGCTATCCTTGAATTTAAAGAGATTGGGAAGCACAGCATAGTTCATAAATTCTGTAAGTGGCAAATGATTTACAGAAGGGTGTTCGATCACCTCGATGAGAATGGGCAACCCAATGCCAAACTTATTTTACATGAACATCAACCTACATGAAAAATAGGAAGCATGGCGTGCAAGTTGCAGTTACACGCTCTAATCGAGTAACGCATCTCTCCCCAAACAATTTAAGCCACAACAGGATACGATGCACAGGTTGCAACACCTGAAATTAAATCATAATGGTTGGTTGGTAAAAACCAGTGCTGAAAAATGACTAATCACAGTTACAAATTCAGAATTATAACATTAATATCAATGACTCTATGAATGCCAAATCTTCATTGCTCTCGGTATTACAATCTAAAGGCCTTTGCCACCCTTCGCTAAGCACTCAATACAGACGGACTTGAGGCCACTTTTGTTTAATATCTTTGGAAAAAAAATTGGTTGTCTAAGTATGGATTTATTAACTCGCGATTAACACGTTCTTTTAAGAATAGTCCCAGGTATTGAGAAAACAAATGAAGAGACCTCATGTGTAAGAAAAGAGGGAGAATGATGCTTCAGAGAATTGGAGTAGTGTTCTAAGGTTTGATCGAGTAAAAAATCATTGCACATTGTTACTTTTTTTTTTTTTTTAATTATTGTAAGACTGGTGTGCCCTTTAAATTTATGAAATGCATAAAAAACACCCAATGAACTTTAACTATTCTTTAAGAATTTGGGTCGGGTGATCCTTACCGCACATATTCTTTCCAAACTCCATTTTGAAGTAGCCATTGTCACCCCAGTTGCTTCCCCACGAATTTTTAATGATCCAATATGGAACACCATCTTCAACTCCATACCCAACAGCAAGAACGGCATGGTTTACATCCTGCCACCCAAATAATCATATTTTATTAAATTCCAATGAATGACTGTCTTAGTCCTCTACACAGTAGTTTAAAATTATCGACAGGCAGAATACATGTGTCACAGATGTGAACGGTTGTATACATGCACCCAGAACAGCAACTGTGTTTCAAGATGCGATAAAATTGACATATTTAAAAGGATGAGGTATACTCTTGCAAAATACTCACCATGGGATTGCTGCCACAAGTGTTGCTAGTGTAAACTCCTGTTTTGTAGAATCGGAAGTCGTCCACCACCTCAAATGCCACACTAACTGGCCGAACAAAAGCAACTGCATGTTTCAATTCATGCTCAGCACCCTGCATCCGAGACAAAGCGAAAACCAATAGAAAACCGCATACAGAAGTAGTTGAAGTAAGATCCCACACATGGTCAACAGTAATGTAACAATCATCCACACAAATGAAGCAGAAACCTATCTATCCGTTTAGTTACCAAAGTGATATTAACAGAGTCAATGACTCGAACAGCAACGTTTTCAGCTGTAAATTTGCAGACACCATCTTCTCCGGTGTAGGGATATGCTTCCTCAGTGTCAAGGCCACCATTGTACTTAATGTATTCAAATGCTTGGGATGGTAACCCACCATGACAGCCAAAGTTGTTGAAAGGACCGGCACAGTCTACTAGCTGCTGCTCAGAGAGACTGATATTTTTCCCAAAGGCCTGTGCGTATGCTGCCTCCAAAGAACCAGTTGTGCTGCATATGACATGTTTTGCTGTTAGAAGACTGTTAAATTAGAATATTTAACTTATTCCAGACTATTTCTTGGATCGCAATGCAACCTGAATGTCCAGCAAGATCCACAGTGACCTTGATCTTTAACTTCGCTGACTATACCTTCTTTTCTCCAGTCTTTCTGCACATCAAACACACACACAAAGGCTCCTCAGAATCAGAACGCAAATTTCTCTCTAACAAAAAAAAACAAGAAACCAAAGACAAGGGCCAAGTTACGGTCCAACAAATATTAGGGAAATCTCATTGTTTACAGTTTATTTTAGGTATATAGTACAAGTTTGTTCATAAATGATTTTAAAAGAATAAATATATAAAATAAGTTTCTTATTAGCTAATTCATAAAAATTCTTTCATAATTTTTCTATTTTTATTTTTAATTTATCTAACTTAATTTTAGTTTATGAAAAGTCAAATTTTTTATATGAAAATTTATGAAAAAGTTTGTCCAAACAAATCTTAAATTCTTAATTTTTAATTATGAAAACTAATATTTTATTTTTCTTATTTTATAACATTACTAAAACCTCACCTTAAAAAAACATTGTGTTTTTTTTTAGTATTTATTTCTCTTTCACTGTTTGGATAAATCTTGCATGAGTACTTATCAGACAATATATATATAATATCAGTTTTTGAACAAATTAAAATAAAATAATTTTAAAAAATTAACTTACAAATAAACTAAATTAAACTTTAAAAAAATATTTTTTATATTCATATTACTTGTTTTATAAATGTTTTGAAAAAAATTATATAATTGTATCTGACTAATTCGGGTGAATAACACACATAACTCTATTCAAAGAAAAGAGTAAAGTGAAATTTGAAATCATGGTTGTTTAATCATATTTTTCTCTCTATAACGAAATAACTGTAGCTATATATTTTAATCTCAGATTAATTGATATAATAAAGTATTACTTTAAATAAATTACATTAATATTTGTATTTGTAACAAATAAAAAGTGAATTTATTAAGAGAATGGAAATATTTGAGTAAAACATAAATAAATTATTAATAATATAATTAATGTGAACATTGTTTAAAAAACTGGTGAATAAGACATCCTTCATGAAGAAAACTTAGCACATAAAGGCAGGAAATACTAGGTCACATCATCTTTTATATATTCAGTTACATGATCAGATATTTGCTTTATTTAGTGTTCACTATTAATCTCAAATGATTCATGTAAGTAATTAAAAATCAGCAACAGTTACAGTTGGGGAAAGTACCTCTTCGGGAATAACAGCATCTGTGAGTCTGTGGTTGCCTTTGAATGTAGCGGAGCAGTTCTGAGCAGCGCCAAGTCTGTGTCTTGTAAACTCTTCCCATGTCCAGTCAGCAAAATCTGAAATAAGAATTTAAACTTGAAGTGAGAAAAAGAAGAAAAAATAAATAAATAAAAGAGTGAATAAATAAGTAAGCACACACGATTAATGCCGAGTGTGTAAGTGAGAGGCCTCTTGTTGGTAGATCTGATGAGTCTGACATTATCGGAGAAAATCCGGAAACGGTGCTGGATCTCGTTGGCGGAGTGGTAGCTCTTGCCATAACGACGAGCGAATCGTGCAAAGGAGAGAGCATGTCGGCTCTGTCCGATCACCTCGAGCACTTGTGACTCAAGGTCTGAGGTCAACTGAATAACATTTGACTCATCAAAGGTGGAACCTGTAACCACGATGACAACCGCACAGAAGACGAAAATTGGTAGCGACAACTGCGCCATGGATATCACACTGGTTGGTGTGTTGTGGTTGTTGGCTGGTTTTGAAGAAATAAGGGATTGGCCCCAAACCTTTACACAAAATGACCAAATTATCCTTGACTTATTATACTTCATTGTCTCACGTCGTTTTCTTGTGAGGGACCCAGACAATAAATTTATTATACTCGATTTTAATGCGTGGTTATTAAAATATTTACAAATATTTAATATAACTTACAACATCAAAATTCAAAATACTTAATCTTGATTACACTTTGTTTGGTTTGGTAAATTGATTATACCAAAATGAAAAAAACATAAAAATTGGAAGAAGATAAAAATTTAGTTGTATAAATATAAGAGAAATATGAAGAAATTGTGATTAATCTGCTAAATTTTTTTATTTATGATGAATTTATTTCACTTTTAAAAATTAATAATTACTTAAATTAAATTTTCGACATATTATTTCATAAAAAAAATTAAATTACACATATAAATCAAAATTTGTAACATAATTATGACATATTAATCATATTTTATATTTTATTCATGTGTCCATAGTTTTTAACTTTATAAAATAATTATTAAAAATATCTGAATTTCATCTTAAATTTTTTTTTATAAATTGCTAAAAAAAATGATATTTTTTCTTCTTCAAAACAGTCTTACAATTTTGTTATTTCCCTTTCACCTTATCTACATTTGATCTTTTATTTTAAATTAGAATATTTTTATATTCTAATACAGAAAATATTAATTTTATCAAATGTTTAATTTTACTCTACTTATCTTTATATTTTAACAAACTAAAATTATATATTATAATATATTAAATAGGATATTTAATATTTAAATTTCAATTTAACTAAAATAAAAAAATAAATAGCATATAAATAATTAAATTTAAATTAAATAAAGATTACAAATTTTCAAAAATAGATATGGATCAAATATATAAAAGGACAGAAATTACTAATGAAGAAATATTAGATGTTAAATATAAAATATAAAGTCTTTTTATTTTTATTTTATAATTTCAAGATAAAGTACTACACAAATGGTTAGAATTTGAAAATGTACTCTACTAGTCCTTATATTTTAAATATTTAATTCCTAAAATATCAAATATATTTTTAATTAAATAATATTTTTAAATTTTTGAAAAATATTTATATAATAAATATTAAATAATTTTAAGTTTCAACGCGTTAAATATGCTTTATTTAATATCCCTATTGCTATGTTTTATAGGTTTTGACCTGCATTGAGTTGCACTTGTTTGCACTATTTGGGGGAAGAATAATGTATTCTATTAGAGGCTTGGTGGGCCTATCTCTAATAAAGTAGTTGGTTTGATCCAAAATTGTTTTTTCCTTTATCTCTTTGGATCATAACCCCTTCTAGCCTTTTCGGATACCGAAGATTAAGAGTAAAATTTAGCAACTAAAGATCAAAATATATAAAATGTAAGTAGTGATACGAAGGAACAAATAAAATTATTGGATACATATTATAATTATACCCCTTAATTGAACTGTACTAAAATATTATTAATGTATATTATTTTTTTATAAATATAATAATAAATAAATTTATTAATAACCACAAAAATTGTTTTGGATAATTATTATTTAAAAATATATTATGTTAAATTCTATTTGGATGTTAAAAAAACACCTGTAAAGATACTAATATTTAAGTAGGTATAAGATAGAAAAGTCTATTTATAAAAGAGTAAAATATTTTATTTATAAGTCTAGTCATAAATTAGATAATAAATTATACATATTTTTATATTAATAATTATCTTTTAATAATAAAATATGTTAATTATATATTATTATCATATTACATATTTAAATAGATTATTTTAAAATAATATTATATATAATAAATATGAAAATAAGTCAAATTTTTTATCAAATTTTAGGAATAATAATTATTTAATTTAGTTTTTGTTAGGTAATGCAATTCTAAGTTTCAATTGTGTAAAAAGAATAAGAAAGTTGAACAACGTATAAAGAAAAAAAACTTATAATCCAATGTCTTAAGATTTTAGGTTAAGAGTGATGTGAATCTTCATATAGTATCGTAGCTAAATGTTGATTGACAGTGGGTTAGAGTAGTTTTTGTATTAAAAATTTTTCTAACAGAGTGGATTAAGTAAGTCAGTTTAGTTAGAGTGAATGACGGCACATAAAATGACTACTGGTGTGTTCGAGGGATGTACAACTCGGACAAAGCTACAACCACATAATATACTAAGAATATTCTACTTAACAAAAAGTCACTTTGATGGAAAAAAACATCATGAAGAACATCACCGTCTTTATCCCAAAGAATTATCCTATTAATAGATAAATAAGATAATAACACTATACGAAATTTTTTATAACATATAGACAATTTTCTCATGCCCTTTGACCCCAAGTACACCCATATTTTTCAAAGCAAGAATTTAAACTAAACCTATCAAACACTCTACTACACGAGTATAAGAAAAGTCAAATTCATGCTTAAAGTGTCTTTGACTAAGGTGAGGAATATCATGAACTTTAAGCTCATTATATAGCTACTATCACTCACTTCATTACTTATCCAATATGATATGAAACTTTTTAAGATATATTATTTTCATTAACTCAACAATTTTTACCAAGAATAAAATAAACACATATTCCTTCTTATCTTAATTGCCTACACTAACAATCATTCATACTTCACTATAAAGACTATACTCACTTGAAATTAAACCATTCCAAAAATTTTCTTTTACTGCAACCTCAATGGTAACCAACGCCTGTGACCACACACCCTGCATCAATATTAGTCGATACCTGTGTCATACACTCTGCATCAATATTAGTCAGTGCCCGTGCATACCTGTATCAATGTTCATTAATACCCACGTATAATCATCATACACTCTGCATCAATATTAATCAATATCCGTATATACTTGCATAATTACCGTTAGCAAAAACTCATTTTTTTCCATGACAATGCAGTTATACCATGAGAATACTTAACTTCATGTCAGAAGTTCTTCTTTTCAACACCTTGTATAATGTATATTATTGTATTAGCATATCTTTGACTTGAGTTTGCCACTAGCCAAAATGGATCTTCCATCAAATTTTTCTATGTCACATTTGACAACACTTGTAAATGACATTGTAACTTCAGCAACCAAGAATAATTTTCTAACGACAAAAAAACAATCAATATGATTCTCTAACAACAAGGAAGCAACCAAAAATGATTCTATAATAATAAAGAAGCAACCAATGATGATTGCTCAACTTTATTATTGTAAGACTTAAAATCACACTCGGGATTACCTAACAATTTTTACAATAAATTTATACATATATTGATAGATAAATTTTAATAATATAAATTTTTGATGTAAATATTAAAATATTACATTTTGACTCATAAAATATTAACATCTAAAGTTAAATCAGTCATTAAAATAGACGATAAAATATTTTTCTTTTTAGATTAAGATTTTTTCTTTCTATAGAACACCCTGGCTATTCAATCAACCACCTTTATTTTTATAATTTAAGAGAAAAAAATTTTTTTTTAAGTGAATCTCATATATATATATATATATATATATATAAATATAAATATAAATATATAAATCCTCTCTTTATTTCACTCCTAATCTAAAAAATTGGAGATGACCGAAAATTAATGGTCTCAACGTACTAAGAATTAAATGCAAAGCAATTTATGATAAAGAAATAATAGTCCATGTTTCAATTAAAAATAAAAATAGAAAAAAAAGGTGATATATTTAATCTATTAAGAATTTTTATTTTCATAAGTAAAGTTGAATATTGTTGTCACAAAAGGAAGACGAAGATGGAGTAGAAGAAATTGGGAAAATTTTCATATAAGACATACGTCAAAATAAAATATTGAAGTGAATTGTAAATTTAAATTATCTAGAGGCAATTAGAAGCTTTAGAATCTGCCTCCAAACCTTACCTAACCGTTGTGAAAATCATTGACCATTAATTTAATATACTTTCTTATGTATTTGAAGGGTTAGATTAACGTACATATTTTATTGGTTATATAAAATAATGACTAAGAAAAGAATTGTTACGTTGGATCCATGGTCTCCAAGGTAAATATGTCAAATTATATTGATTTTTAACAAAAAAATTTTAATTATATTTTTATTTGGTTATAAGTACTCATTCAATAATTAATATACACTTAAATTAGACAAAATAATAAATACATAAATTTTAATATTTTCACTTATATATAAATTTTAAGGAATTTAATTTATATTTTTGAGTGTCCCATTTAACCTTAATTCTTAATGTGGTAATCAGAATCATCTGATTATTCATTTGAATCCGTGATCTTATTATCATGCTTTCTCGTACATGAACTACTAAATATTCATATTTTTTTATAACTTTTAAATAGACATTTAACTCTTTCATCTTTTTAATAAATAATCCTTCCTCATTTCATTTATAATTTTTTTACAAATTTTTTATAATTTAAGTTTTTATTTTAGTCAATATAATATTTAAATAAAATATAAAAATATGAGCGTCACTTTTTAAATATAAGAAAGAGTTATTTACCAAATTATATATACAAAAGTGAATATATATTTAAAAATCTAAAGAGATGTAAATGTAATTTTATTAAAATGGAGATACTTGACTGTTTTAAGACTTAAAAGGAATTGAGTATTATTTATGATAAAAAAAATTACAATATATATATATATATATATATATATATATATATATATATATGATCTAATTATATTATAAATTTCCAAAATTATTATTTATTATCATAATATAAAAATTTATTGTAATTCGACATTTGATTTATTTTTCTAAGATGCATTTAAGATTTAAAACATGTAAAAGTGGTTGATTCGTAAACTTCCTCCATCATAGTTAAAATATTGCATGCATCTGTCTTTCTTTTTTAATTATACATTTCTTGTATTTTAATATTTTTCAGTTAATTCTTCAACATGTTCTTATTATTATTATTATTATTATTATTTGACAAAGAATTCGAGCAGTATTGGTCACCATGACATCACCTTTGTAAAGCTCCATTATTGGCAACTTGTCTCTTGA